TTGAGACCAGCCTAAGCAAGAGCAAGACCCTGTCTCTACAATAAATAGAAAACTTAGTCAGGTTGTGGCGGGCACCTATAGTCCATCTACTTCAGAGGTTGAGGCAGGAGGATCACCTGAGCCCAGGTGGTTGAGGCTGCTGTGAGCTATGATGATACCACAGCACTCTACCCAGGGCAACAGAGTGAGACTCTGTCTCAAACAAAATAAAAATAAACAAACAAACCTAAACAAACCAAATCAAAAGAAAACAAACAAAAAAGAAAAAAGCAGGGCTCCCAGCTAATTCCTAGAGCGTAGGCAATTTCGTTCTCTCTGTCTCTGTGTCTCTCTACTTCCAGTCATTAATTCACTCAACAAACATTTATCAACAAACACCCTCCAGGTGTGTAGATGGAGACAGACACACACAAACACTACCTCTTGTACAGGGTAGACTGTGACCATGTTCTGTGGGTGTTGGGGCCACCAGAGCAAGAAGGAAGTCTTCTCTGGGTGGGTTTCAGGAGAAGGTAGCCTTTGGCAGGGGCTTACAGGCTGGGTGAAATTTCGATAGGTAAACAGGAAAGGACTTTCCAGGTAGAGGACACAGCTTGAGCAAAGGCCTAGAGGTGGATATTGGCAGGGTGCGTTTGGGGGAAAGTACAGTGTCTGGGGAGGCTGGAAGGCACGAATGTGGAAGATGGGATTGAAGGGTAAATTCAGGGGGTGTTTATAGAAACAGAAGCTGATATTCCAGAAAGGGAACAAAAGTGCCTGCCTTGGTCCACAGAGCCTAAGTGGTGTAGCTGGGGCTGAGACCCTATGCCAGCTGCAAGGACAGTGGGGAGGGGATGGATGCAACCTGGCGGGGATGCATCGTGGGAACAGAGCTGAGGGAGGACAAGATGCCTAGGTCAGTTTCTGCCTCTGTAAAATGGACACATTGAGAGGGTCATTCCCAGTCAGACACCCTACTCTCTGCTTCACATGGGCTAGGACGTCCAGACCCTGTCCCAGATAGGCCATCCTCTCAAAGGGACTGAAAGGTCACATCTGTCCTGACATTTTCCCCCAAGTCTCCCTCCTAACATCTCATCTCACTCCATCCCACCTCAGGGGAGTCTGCTCCACCCTCCTGCACTCCCTCACACCAGACACTGCTCATCCCTGTTAGTCATCAATTGGTAGGAAAATGCCTTCAGATGCACCAACCTACTCCTGTCTGCTCTGCCCCACCCACCCAGCTATCCAGAGCTACTCTACCCCCGGCACCTTGGCCTTGGGGAGTGGCTGAGCTGAGCCAGAGCTTGCATGCTCTGTGACCTCAGGCAGTTTCCTTAACCTTTCTGAACCTTAATCTTTTCCTTCCTTCTGTTCTTTGTCCAGCTCTCTCTAACTCCTATCCCTATTTTTTTGATATCAAATAAATATTTATTGAACAGAAGAATGAATAAATATAAAAATATGAAGAGTGTCTAGGTAAGTGTGTTTATTGTGGGGTATATGGTGCATAGAACATGGACGATTAAGAGCAAATGATATGAGTTTTAGTAAAAAAAAAAAAAAAAAAAAAAACAGGAGGAGTGTCTAGGTAAGTGTGTTTATTGTGGGGTATATGGTGCATAGAACATGGACGATTAAGAGCAAATGATATGAGTTTTAGTAAAAAAAAAAAA